ATAGACTGATCATTTCTTTGTCAGTGGGCAAACGTACAAAATCAGCAGGGGATCAAATACTTTTTTCCCTCACTGTATGTTGTCCTGGGATATAAACATTGTGTTATTATTTTACCTGAAATGCACAAGGTCCTTCTTTCTGGATCTTTGTAGAATTCTGACCCATTTTGAGTCACACAAAATCGTGTGTTATCTACTCCGACAATTATTCCACAGATAAAAGGGGAAACCTAGTTAGGTTCTAGTTATCTCTCCTCCTTCAGTCTTCTTCTCTTTCTTCTTCTTCTTCTTCTTCTGTGGACTTTATATGGCGGTTGGCAACCAACTGTAAGGTGCATTGCCTCCACCAACTGGACTGGAGTGTGTACCTCAGTTCATCTTTCAGTCACCCACATGGGTATATGCCCCTAAAAACCAATGAGGAGATGGGAGACTTGCAGCGCTTCAAACGTAAAAAATAGAACCAAGTTCTATTTTAGCGCCTGGCTATGCAGATGCTCGTTGGCTCCCGCGAGCAGTTTGGATTAAATGATTGAATAACATTTATGTGTAGATTTATTTTGAGGCGGCAGGTAGCTTAGTGGTTAACAGCGTTGTGCCAGTAACCGAAAGGTTGCTGGTTCTAATCCCCGAGCTGACTAGGTGGAAAATCTGTCGATGTGCCCTTGAGCAAGGCACTTAACCCTAATTGCTTATGTAAGTCGCTCTGGATAAGAGCGTCTGCTAAATGACTAAAATGTAAATGTTGCAACGCGAGCGGTGTGTTCAGCATGTTATTTCCTAATGGTGTCTCGGATACCCCTAGCAGTTTTGGCAATTTTGGAAAATGTGAATAACTTAAATAAAAATCTATCTTCTATCCAAGTCTACCCTAGAGCCGAGTAAGCTTTATACCCGCACCACAGTTTACACAGTTAATGCAGAAGACAACAATATCTGCATCAGTGGAGGCTGCTGCGGGGAGGACGGCTCATTATAATGGCTGGAACGGAGCAAATGGAATGGCATCAGACTCATGGAAACCATGTGTTTGATGTATTTGATAACATTCCACTGATTCCGCTCCAGCCATTACCACGAGCCCCTCCGCCCAATTAAAGGTGCCACCAACCTCCTGTGATCTGCATTATATCCACCACTGAGTAGGATAATGTGTACGTCTATCTTTAGAACATGTTACATTTACCCAGACAGAGGCATCTGTCTGCCTCTGGAGGAGGACATTAATCATTAGGAAAGTCATTTACCAGGTGGTTGTCATCAGGCCTCAGTAACAGGGCTGTGTTCTTGTCACACGTTATCTCCTCTCCTAGCAGAGGAAATACAATTAAATGGAGAACTGTTCCTGTGTATGTTCTGTTGATTTGTGTGCAAACAAGTGCAGAGTGCGTTCTTATTGATTGTCCATCTACTTGAGCGAGTTAACACCAGTGACATACAGTTAACTGCCAAAATAAATGAAACGCTTGAGTAAATGAGGGATACAAAGTCTATTGAAATCAGGTGCTTCCACAAAGGTGTGGTTGGTGAGTTAATTAACCCTTTACACTCATGGGAATTGGCCTATATGGATGGGGCTAAATTGAAATGTTTCTTACAGAAGAAATACATAACCATGCTAGCAATTGAAAGGGAACAGTTTGGGGATTATGGGAACATTATTAGACCAAAGGTGAGGACACAACAGTTCACCTGACACAAGACTGAATCCAAACATTACACATGATTTTATGTGCATTTTACATTTCCTGTACTTTTTGCCGCTTTCGTTGAGAACGAAATCTGAAAATACTCTGCATACATTCAGTAACATAAGATTTTTCCTGGAAAATGTGGGGTAGGTGCAACATAAGACAACAAAATGACAAGGGTTTGAGTGAGAGGACTAACTGGTGTGCACATTTCCTAAGTAATGTCAATGCACTTTTATAAATCAAAGAAAAGTCTTCAACTATAAGGTGCTTTTTTGAGCTCTCCTAGCTGTGCCGTTGAGGAACTAGAGTGAGCACACTTGTAGTTGTTTTGTTTGGAACACAACCCTGCATCCCTGCCCTCACACAATTACTGTTGTTTACGCAATCCAAAAACAGTCCATTATAAATCGCAATCTGGGTCAGGTGGGCATCATTTGGAAGCTTGTTCTGTTGCCAACATGACGAGTTAAGTTATAAAATATTATCTTACAGTGCTAGGCTTTCACAGGGCAATGCAGAGAAACAAATTGTAATTTTGTTTGCGCATAGAAAGGAGTCATGCCTGCATTCAGCTGCGTGTTCCGCAGCTCATGTTCTTCACAATAGACAAACCATAGGCTCGTTCTGTTCAGAACAACCCAGGGTATGACGCCTGATCATCTTGTAACTGTACATCAAACATAGTGATCATAAACGTTGACACTAAATTACATGAGTTTTATTATAAGGAAATGTGAAGTGCACATTTGGACTCACTGGTGTTTGGCTTGCTTGTATGGCATCAAAGCGGTATTTATTATAATCCTCAATGTCTCATCTTTCAAAATACATAGAGTCCTCTTAATGTACAGCATTTCCCTCCCTCAGACAACAAAACATTTGCAAAAGTTGCCCAATTAGCGGGAGGGACGGGGGCAACTTCTTGTCGTCCGAGTTGCTCCAGTTCAGAACGGCTGTCAGTCAAAACCCATACAGCACTGTGAAGCACAGAGCCAGAGCTCTGACGTCATCTATAGCATGTTACTGTACAGACACTGTGTTCCAATTTAGGCGTTTATCAGTGCCCAAATCTGCCATTTTCAACCCCTATACAGGTACGGTGTAAAGGGTTAAGCAATTAACATCCCATCATGCTTAGGGTCATGTATAAAAATGCCCAGTTGCCCATTATTTTGGCTACCATGGCTAGAATAAGAGATCTGTGACTTTGAATGAAAGAGGGGTCTCAAATGAGTATAGGGGGTTTAAAGGGTGTGTGCGTGTCACCAGATGTGTGTGTGTGTGTGTGTGTGTGTGTGTGTGTCACACAACATTTATGGGAGATTTTGGAGTGGCACCTGAGACATTGTTTTCCACCACCATCAACAAAACACCAAATTATGGACTTTCTCATGGAAGAATGGTGTCTCATCCCTCCAATAGAGTTCCTGACACTTGTAGAAACTATTCTATGCCAAGACTCATTGAAGCTGTTCTGGCGGCTCGTGGTGGCCCAACGCCCTTAATGTTGGTGTTTACGCTGGTGTTTCCTTTATTTTGGCAGTTACCTGTAGATATCAAATGCATAGATACTGTATCAAGTGTTTGGGTGTCCAACCCCAGAGGCATACAGTATACAGTGCTTTCGGAAAGTATTCAGACCCCTTGACTTTTTCCACATTTTGTTACGCTACAGCCTTATTCTAAAATTGATTAAATAAAATACATTCCTCAGCAATCTACACACAATACCCCATAATGACAAAGTGAAAACAGGTTTTTAGATTTTTTCACAAATCTATTAAAAATTTAAAACAGAAATATCTTATTTACATAAGTATTCAGACCCTTTGCTATGCGACTCGAAATTTAGCTCAAGTGCATCCTGTTTCCATTGATCATCCTTGAGATGTTTCTATAACTTGATTGGGACCTTATATAGACAGGCACACACCTGTCTATATAAGGTCCCACAGTTGACAGTGCATGTCAGAGCAAAAACCAAGCCATGAGGTCGAAGGAATTGTCTGTAGAGCTCCGAGACAGGATTGTGACGAGGCACAGATCTAGGGAAGGGTACCACATTTTTTTTGCAGCATTGAAGGTCCCCAAGAACACAGTGGCCTCCATCATTCTTAAATGAAAGAAGTTTGGAACCACCAAGACTCTTCCTAGACCTGGCCATCTGGCGAAACTGAGCAAGACGGCCAGGTCTAGAAACCTGATGGTCACTCTGACAGAGCTCTAGAGTTCCTTTGTGGAGATGGGAGAACCTTCCAGAAGGACAACCATCTCTGCAGCACTCCACCAATCAGGCCTTTATGGTAGAGTGGCCAGACGGAAGCCACTCCTCAGTAAAAGGCACATGACAGCCCGCTTGGAGTTTGTCAAAAGGTACCTAAAGACTCTCAGATCATGAGAAACAAGATTCTCTGCTTTGATGAAACCAAGATTGAACTCTTTGGCCTGAATGCCAAGCGTCACGTCTGGAGGAAACCTGGCACCATCCCTACGGTGAAGCATGGTGGTGGAAGCATCATGCTGTGGGGATGTCTTTCAGTGGCAGGGACTGGGAGACTAGTCAGGATCGAGGCAAAGATTAACAGAGCAAAGTACAGAGAGATCCCAGATGAAAACCTTCTCCTGAGTGCTCAGGACCTCAGACTGGGGCGAAGGTTCACCTTCCAACAGGACAACGACCCTAAGCACACAGCCAAGACAACACAGGAGTGGCTTCGGGACAAGTCTCAGAATGTCCTTGAATGGCCCAGCCAGCGCCCGGACTTGAACCCGATCGAACATCTCTGGAGAGACCTTGAAAATAGCTGTGCAGCAACTCTCCCCATCCAACCTGACAGCGCTTGAGAGCATCTGCAGAGAAGAATGGGAGAAACTCCCCAAATACAGGTGTGCCAAGCTTGTAGCGTCATACCCAAGAAGACTCGATGCTGTACTCGCTGGCATAGGTGTTTCAACAAAGTACTGAGTAAAGGGTCTGAATACTTATGTAAATGTAATATTTCAGTGTTTTATTTGTAAAAAATTAGCAAAAATTTAGAAAAACCTGTTTTTGCTTTGTCATTATGGTGTGTAGATTGATGAGGGGAAAAAACAGTTTAATCAATTTTAGAATTAGGCTGTAACGTAACAAAATGTGGAAAAAGTCAAGGGGTCTGAATACTTTCCGAAGGCACTGTATATACAAAGTTTGGTCATCGATGTGAGGTTTGTAATTCTAAGGCTCACCAAAAGTTTCAAAACGGAGAGATTTGAACACTCTGACGCCCCCCTTCCTGATTGTCTGTCTGTCTCTCTGTCCCCCCACAGGGCAGTGAGTTGTTTATGACAGACGAGGAGCGTCTGGCGGTAGAGGCTCGCAGGGAGCTGGACAGACGAGAGTTGATGCACCAGAAGAGGGTTGCCCTGGAGACTAACAAGGTGGTCAAGGAGCAGCAGGAGAAGGAGAGGCAGTGAGTGGATATCAGATTGATTAGTTTTATTTGAGATTTAAAACCTAATTTAAACCACATAATTGGATATAAGGCATTTAAAATCATCAAGGGCAACTCAAAGAAGTGGTCGAACATATTTATATTGTGGCTGGGGCTTTATCAGAATAGATAAGGCCCTTTGGAGGGAAAACTATTCTACTGAAGACTTTTCCAGGAATAGGCAGTCCAAACAATGATGGGAAGATTGGACAGAAAAAGCCACAAAAAACAGCAATTGATGACTACACATTATCATTTTATTCAGAGAGCTGAAGCTTTGACAATTGTGAATTTATAAAACGGATCATTATGTATTTTTGGTCAAAGTTATTGTCTGTGCAAATGCTTTATGAACAGATGTCTCTCTTGATACACCCAGAGAGAAAGAGAGCACAGACAATAAGTGAGGACTGAAACATATGTTGGTTTTCACTTGTCAACCCACATTCAGTTTGCCAAAATAATCAGGTGCTGACATCCATAGAGCACAGAGCCTTCATCTCTTGGCTCTGTACACTAGAAAATAACAGGCTTTTCACTAGCAGTGATAGCAATCAGACTCACAGGAGACAAGCAAAACAAAAGATTACAGGTTTTTTTCTGATTGACAAATGATATATACACTGAGTATGCCAAACATTAGGAACACCTTAAAAATCCTTCTTTAACCTGACTCCTCCCCTTCATGTATACTGATTGAAGTGGATTTAACAAGTGACATCAATAAGGGATCATAGCTTTCACCTGGATTCACTTGGTCAGTTTATGTCATGGAAAGAGCAGGTGTTCTTAATGTTTTGTATTCTCGGTGTACAAACTCCAGTGATTACTTGTTATCAACATAGCTTTGTGAATCTATTATACTGATGCTATCTCCAGAAGAATAGGCTGAATATGTTGTTATTTCCCATAAAATTGGATGTTAGTCATACATACCATATATATAAATGTTTATTTGTGTTGTGAACAGGAGAAAGATGGAGATTTCTCAGAAGACTGCTGAGGAAGAGGAACGCTATCGGAAGGAGATGGAGAAGTGGGTTTTCACCCAGCTTTGCATATGTATTGCTCTTTCTGTAATATATGTATTTTGTATGTTACATACACAATGTTACACATATGGCTAATTATATTCATAGTGAAACAGACAGATCAGTCAGGGACTGGGAGTATTGCATGAAGGGAATCCAGGATCTATCAAAACTTCAAAGACCATCTAGTTTAGCTTCAGTGTTCTTGTGTGTTAACAACTAAACTCAGCAAAAAAAGAAACGTCCTCTCACTGTCAACTGCGTTTATTTTCAGCAAACTTAACATGTGTAAATATTTGTATGAACATAACAAGATTCAACAATTGAGACATAAACTGAACAACTTCCACAGACATGTGACTAACAGAAATTGAATAATGTGTCCCTGAACAAAGGGGGGGGGGGGGGTCAAAAGTAACAGTCAGTATCTGGTGTGGCCACCAGCTGCATTAAGTACTGCAGTGCATCTCCTCCTCATGGACTGCACTAGATTTGCCAGTTCTTGCTGTGAGATGTTACCCCACTCTTCCACCAAGGCACCTGCAAGTTCCCGGACATTTCTGGGGGGAATGGCCCTAGCCCTCAACCTCCGATCCAACAGGTCCCAGACGTGCTCAATGGGATTGAGATCAGGGCTCTTCGCTGGCCATGGCAGAACACTGACATTCCTGTCTTGCAGGAAATCACGCACAGAACGAGCAGTATGGCTGGTGACATTGTCATGCTGGAGGGTCATGTCAGGATGAGCCTGCAGGAAGGGTACCACATGAGGGAGGAGGATGTCTTCCCTGTAACGCACAGCGTTGAGATTGCCTGCAATGACAACAATCTCAGTCCGATGATGCTGTGACACACCGCCCCAGACAATGACGGACCCTCCACCTCCAAATCGATCCCGCTCCAGAGTACAGGCCTCGGTGTAACGCTCATTCCTTCGATAATAAATGCGATTCCGACCATCACCCCTGGTGAGACAAAACCGCGACTCGTCAGTGAAGAGCACTTTTTGCCAGTCCTGTCTGGTCCAGCGACGGTGGGTTTGAGCCCATAGGCGATGTTGTTGCCGGTGATGTCTGGTGAGGACCTGCCTTCCAACAGGCCTACAAGCCCTCAGTCCAGCCACTCTCAGCCTATTGCGGACTGGTGTAACTCGGGCAGTTGTTGTTGCCATCCTGTACCTGTCCCGCAGGTGTGATGTTCGGATGTACCGATCCTGTGCAGCTGTTGTTACACGTGGTCTGCCACTGCGAGGATGATCAGCTGTTCGTCCTGTCTCCCTGTAGCGCTGTCTTAGGCGTCTCACAGTACGGACATTGCAATTTATTGCCCTGGCCACATCTGCAGTCCTCATGCCTCCTTGCAGCATGCCTAAGGCACATTCACGCAGATGAGCAGGGACCCTGGGCATCTTTCTTTTGGTGTTTTTCAGAGTCAGTAGAAAGGCCTCTTTAGTGTCCTAAGTTTTCATAACTGTGACCTTAATTGCCTACCATCTGTAAGCTGTTAGTGTCTTAATGACCGTTCCACATGTTCATTAATTGTTTATGGTTCATTGAACAAGCATGGGCAACACTGTTTAAACCCTTTACAATGAAGATCTGTGAAGTTATTTGGATATCTATGAGTTATCTTTGAAAGACAGGGTCCTGAAAAAGGGAAGTTTCTTTTTTTGCTGAGTTTATATCAGAGAATGTTTAGTAAGTTTGGATGACCCAGTGACCTCCTGACCTGTGTGTGTCTATGTGTGCATCCTTGTGTGTGTGTGTGTGTGTGTGTGTGTGTGTGTGTAGGATCGAGGCTGCGGAGAGGAAGCACCACAGGGAGTGGGAGGAGGACTGGGCGCCTAGAGATCAACCCAAAACCAAGAGCCCAAAGAGTCCCTCCCCGGCCCCGCCCGAAATCAACACCCCACCCCCCAAGTCCAAGAGCTCTGGTAAGGAGTGGTACCTCTGAAAGTGTTCTATGAATCGATAGAGCAGGGGTACTCAACTCTTACCCTACAAGGTCCGGAGCCTGCTGGTTTTCTGTTCTACCTGATAATTAATTGCACACAACTGGTGTCACAGGTCTAAATCAGTCCCTGACTAGATGGGAACAATGAAAAAATGCAGTAGAACTGGCTTCGAGGTCCAGAGTTGAGTTTGAGGGCTATATAAGAATGAATAGATCCAAGCAAGGCCCTGTAGATCAGCAGGGACTGTAAGGGCCTAGACTTACAGTTGCGTTTCATCTCTTTGCATGCTGTCTGTCTCCTCTCTTCCTCCACTGTGTGCCGTGCTTCTCTGACTTCCTTCACTGCCAGACATTGGAGCAAGCTCTTTTCATGCTGACGATGATGATGAAGAGCAGGAGGAGGAGGAAGAGGGGAGTGACGTGAGTGACGAGTCTCACAGTGTACCCACAGATCGCAGAGTCAGAGACGCACTACAATACCACTCACAACATGCTCGATTTCCTTTGACAATCAAAACCTATTGACATGCTCCTACACCTTAGTAGTGCTAGCCTGGATGCTAGACTGTTTCTGCTTTAGCTAGCTTGTCTTGTATTTCTGAAACTGCCTAGCATTCATCTTAACACGGAGCCATCTTTCTCAACACAACCCCTTGAGCTGTCTTTCTCCATTAATTTCTGTTGTGTGCAGTGGATTTAGTTGACGAACTGTAGATGCTTTTTCTCAATAGTTGCTGAAGTCCTGCTTAGCCTGAGTGCCAGACTGTTTCTGCTCTCTTGCCAACTCCTCATGGAATTGTCGTGCAATACATGTTTGGCTTGACAATGGCAATGGAGTAGGCAAAAGCACAAACAAATCTGGGAACAGGCTAATTCCTCCTGCCTTGCTAGGGTTTGCATCTGTCTCGGCATCAGAGTGACTCTGGTTGATGTTGTTTTTTCTCTGTAGCTTTTGGATGGTTTTATCGCTATGAAGGGAAGCTGCCCACACTCCGCAAGGTATTCTGTACGGTCGCAGTTTGGTGTGCTGTGAGTGTGTTCTGTCAAAGCTAACGGACATATTTAACTTGGAGCAAAATAACATAACTTCATTACTGGTTCTGTCACCACAATGCTGTGGCAGTTCTATATTGTAGTGGCTCTTTGTGTCAATTTGAAGTTGGAAAACCTATAGTGTCTAGTATTGGTCCTGGTACCGTTTGTGGTTTGGGGTGGAATGGGTTCTGGTTTCTCCCTGGTTTCTATAACGATAAATATGAATGATGTCTCAGAAAGGGGAGAAGAAGAAGAAAAAGAAGAAAGTGTCCAACACGGACACCCTGCAGAACAGAGGAAAAACAAGAAAGAGATGGAGTTTGAGCTCAAGCTGGCTGCAGAGAAAGAGGAGATGTATGAACGAGAGAAGCAGCTGAAGATCAGTAGACTGGTACAGGAGGTAGGTGTAATGATCAGTAGACTGGTACAGGAGGTATGAGTAATGATCAGTAGACTGGTGCAGGAGGTATGAGTAATGATCAGTAGACTGGTGCAGGAGGTAGGTGTAATGATCAGTAGACTGGTACAGGAGGTATGAGTAATGATCAGTAGACTGGTGCAGGAGGTATGAGTAATGATCAGTAGACTGGTGCAGGAGGTATGAGTAATGATCAGTAGACTGGTGCAGGAGGTATGAGTAATGATCAGTAGACTGGTGCAGGAGGTATGAGTAATGATCAGTAGACTGGTGCAGGAGGTAGGAGTTCTGTGGAACGTGGTTCTGTATGAGTGAGGAAATAACATGAAAGTCACTATTTTCTCATTTTATCTTCTGAGTTGACTTCCCATCAGCACCTCGCCAATAGGGTGTGTGTTCTTTATTCATTTCTACTTTACTGTGTGACTGAGCCCTAATCCAGCCTTGAGTTATACAGTATGTTGTTCTATATGGGTGACCAGTGACCCGGTCTTGAGTATTGCGTTGCGTTGCGCTGTGCCGTGCCCTAGGTGTCAGAGACAGAGCGGGAGGATCTGGAGGAGTCAGAGAAGGTGCAGCACTGGGTGGAACGTCTCTGTCAGACACGCCTGGAACAGATTTCCTGTGTGGAGAACGAGTCCCCGGAGGTACATCTAGAACCCCTCCTCCTAGAACCCTTTCTTATCTGTGTATCAGCTAGGACCACTGGTGGTCCTATCGCATATTATCTTTTTATGTGTAGTAACTTTTCTTCAATCATTTCATGTTTTTTCCCTTCCGTTGCTAATTGATAGATTTGTCGTAGGCTACAATGCTCTGTGACTGTGTGTACAGTGATAGCTCTGTGGTTGTGAGTGTCTGAGAGGCTGGGCTTGTCCTTCAGATGTCCCCTCCTCGGTCTCCTGCCTCTGGGCCCATGGTGAGGCGTTTCCCCGGGGGTCTCCAGCTGGCTACCACTGACCTGGATGATTTGAACTTGGATGAGGTGGACCAGAGCCTGAGGGGGCCGCTGAAGAGACTGGCCCCCACTCAGCCTTCTTCCTCCCAGCCCCCACCCCCCCTACCTCTCCCGCCACCCTCCCCCAGACTCAACCCCACCATCCCCAACTTCTCTCCTGCCTCACCACGACCATCGCCCCAACGCCTCCCCCCTTCTCCCCCCCCCACCCGCAAGCCCCCTCCCTCTGCTTCTACCACGGCCTCCAGAGGACGCCAGCCCCCTCCTCCACCCCCACCTCCCCCTCCACCCCCACTTCCTTCTTCTAAGTACCCTCCTACCTCCATCTCCTCTCACTACCCTCCTGCCCCAACCTCCCACTTTCCTCCCTCCTCCTCCTCCTCCCACTATCCCCCTCCCACCCAGTCCTACAGGCCACCGTCCTCTCCCCGGCCCAACCCTCAGCCTCCCCCTCCTCCTCCTCCTCCCCCACCCCCTCCGCCCCCACCCTCCCAGCAACCTGAGGAGCGGCTGGGGGGAGGGTCCCATGGAGGGTACCACCATCACCACCCCTCCAGTCCCCCAGAGACAAGGAGCGAGTGGGAAGGGGGCGGGTACATGCCAAGGGGTGGTTACTACTCGTCCAACACCAGTGAAGTGTCCTACCCCTCCAGCCCTAAGGTAGCCTCCCTGGTGTGACTATGGCTTGGTCTGAAAACAACCCCTAGCCCATTGCCCTTGCCTTCCCCCGAAAACTTTTAAGCAGAGCTGATAGGAGTGGACAGGTGTGAGCAACTATTGTGATGGCTCCCACTAAACCATCCAATTGGTTTAGGGAAGACATACTGTTACATTCCTGCAAACATCTTGTTCCTTCAGATCTCAGAACATCAAGGGGGCAGGGGAATGTTTAAGGACAGTACTCTGCATGATCTGTGCTGGGAAGATGCATGGTTATTTCATTCATGAAAAGGAGAGGAAACAAATCACTGAGTCACAATGACTGAATGTTGTGAAGAACAATGTCAATTTCCTCTCCGATTAAATTAAATGCAATCATGGATGCAGTTATTGGTTTTTATTCAGTCTGTTTGCGGTGGCTTTGTGATTTGGCTTTGTGAATTGTTATTGTATTTGACAGCACTGGGTGTAGAATTGCATGGCATGATGTGGTGTGAAATGCAGTGAGTGGTGGGTGTTTTATTGGACTGTGGCAGATCAGGGGGTTGGGTCAAGACGTTTACACAGATCAGACATGGACAGAGTATGATTAGCTCGGTTTCAAGGGTGTTTATTAATAAAGTAATCAAAAGAAAAGGATAAGTCACCCCCATGAGACTCTCTCCAGGATACCGTCTCCAACTACACGGAAGTTACCTTTCTTCCCCCAGTCCTCTCTCGTGTGCTGCCCTCCTGGCAGCTTTATGGGCCTTCCACAGCTGGTGAGCAATCCGTCCTTAATTACTCACCAGCTCCCAATCAGCCCCAATTAGTCCTGTCCGGGGAGCCCGTCGAGACCTGGCACGTCCAGCAGATGGAGCCACCACCTCGTGATGATATACTCTATCTGTTACCAGGCCTCGACGAGTCTCCCCCGGTGGCTGATCTGCTGTACGCCCCTTCTCGATAGGGCATCCGCGTTTCCATGCTTCACCCCTGACCTGTGCACAACAGAAAAAGAGAAGCGTTGAAGGGACAAGAACCACCTGGTGACCCGATCGTTTGTGTCTTTTCCCTTGGGGAGCATGGTCCGTGACCAGGGTGAAGTGGGTACCTAACAGGTAATACTTGAGAGTGTTTAGCGCCCACTTCACCGCCAGACACTCTTTCTCCACAATTTAGTATTTTTTCTCTCTCGGTATCAGCTTTCGGCTGATGTACATGATGGGGTGCTCCTCCCCATCTGTATCTGGGACAGAACGGCCCCTAGTCCCGTATCACATGCATCCGTCTGGACCACTATCGGCACCTGGAAATCAGGCGTTACGAGAATCAGATGGGAGCACAGCGCTTCCTTCAGACGGCTGAACGCCACTTCTGTCTCGTCCGTCCATTTCACTGTTTTCGGGAGGCGGGCCCTGGTTAGATCGGTGAGGGCGGAAGCTATAGCCGCAAAGTTGGGGATAAACCGGCTATAGTATCCTGCCAGTCCCAGGAAGGACTTGACCTGTGTCTTTGTGCGTGGAACGGGCCAGTCACGTACCGCATGAACCTTCCTCTCCTGGGGCTTGACGTTCCCCCGTCCAATCAAATACCCCAGGTATTCCACCTCCTCGAACACTAGCTTGCATTTCTTGGGGGTTGCGGTCAATTTGGCTTGTCTGAGCGCGTCCAGCACCGCCTGGAGGCGCGTCAGGTGCTCCTCCCAACCTTGGCTGTGGATGATGATATCATCCATATAGGCCGCTGCGTACTGCTGGTGGGGTCGAAGCACTCTGTTCATCAGTCGCTGGAATGTGGGCGGGGCTACGTGGAGACCGAACGAGAGCACCCGGTACTGGTACAGACCGTCTGGTGTCGAACGCCGTCTTCTCCCGGGAGGAGGCTGCCAATGGTACCTGCCAATATCCTTTGGTCAGGTCAAGGGTGCTGATGTACTGGGCCTTTCCCAATCGGTCGATTAGCTCGTCCACCCTCGGTATGGGGTAGGCGACGAACACGCTTATGTCGTTCACCCCCCGGAAATCATTACAACAGCGGAGGCTACCGTCCGGTTTGGGCACCAACACGATGGGGCTGCACCATGCACTGTGGGACTCTTCAACGACCCCCATCCTCAGCATAGCCTCCACTTCTTGTTTCACGGCCTTCCATCGGGCCTCCGGAATTCGATACGGCCTCTTTCTTACCGTTTCCCCGGGCCAGGTACGGATGTGGTGTTCAATGAGGGTTGTGCGGCCCGGCTTCTCGGAGAACACCGCCGTGTTCCGATCGACCAGCTCCCGGAGCTCTAGCTTCTGGGCCGGGTCGAGGTCCTCACTGCTCGGGACCACCACTGGTACCGTTGGCATCCGGGGTCCCGACCATAACACGGCCAAGGCTGTCCTCTCGTGCCACTTCTTCAACAGGTTCACGTGGTAAATCTGTTGAGGTTTCCGTCTCCCCGGTTGCCGTACGCGGTAGTTGACAGGTCCCAGTTTCTCGACCACCTCGTATGGTCCGTGCCATGTTGGTCCAACACCCTGTCTCACACCTGGAATTCTCGGGGCTGGGTTCCCCGATTGTAGACCTGGGCTTGGGCGCTTTGGGCCTTCTTCATATGTTCCCTCACGACTGGCCATATGGCTGTCATTCGCTCATGCATCGTCTCCACGTGCTCTACCACGCTGCGTAAGGGGGTCGGTTGGGCTTCCCAAACCTCTTTGGCGAGGTCCAGGAGGCCACGTGGCCTCCTCCCGTAGAGGAGTTCAAACTGGGAAAACCCAGTGGAGGATTGGGGTACTTCTCGGATTGAGAACATTAGGTGGGGAAGTAGCTGGTCCCAGTTCTTCCCGTCCCGCTCGATGACCTTCCGCAGCATCTGTTTGAGCTTTTTGTTAAAGCGCTCGACGAGCCCATCCTTCTGCGGGTGAAAACCGGAGGTCCGGATCTGCTTGATCTGCATGAGGGCACACAACTCTTTCATGAGGCGGGAAATAAACTCTGCACCTTGGTCAGTCAGGATCTCGTTCGGGATGCCCATCCGGCTAAAGAGGTGGAACAGCTCCTGGGCGATTCCCTTGGATACCGCCGCCCGTAGGGGAATGGCCTCGGTATACCGGGTGGCATAGTCTACTATTACCAAGATGTACCTGTGTCCTCATGCAGTCTTTACCAGGGGTCCCACTATGTCCATGGCGATGCGTTCAAAGGGCACCCTGATGATCGGCAGGGGGACCAGAGGGTTTCGGAAGTGTGCTTTCGGGGCAGTGAGTTGACACTAGCGACAGTAGTCTTCCACGGCCGTCCTCATCCCGGGCCAGTGGAACCGGGCGGTGACCTGTTCCCGGGCCTTCTCCATTCCCAGTTGCGCCCCCAACAGGTGGGTGTGGGCCAGCTGCAGAACGGTTCCTATGTACCGTCGGAGCAGCAACAATACCTCTCGAAGTTCCCCCTGGTGGCGCGACACCTGACACAAAAGGTTATTCTTAATTTGGAAATGGGGGTATCGCCAGTCACTCATCCCCGGAAGTAGCTGTCCATCCACCGCTATCACTTGGGCTGTGGCAGCTTTCAAATTCGGATCCTCCCACTGGGCCGTCCCGAATTGTCCCCTCAGTTGGCCCCCAACGGGGGTCTCGACTGGCCCCCTCGAAATCGAGAAGGGGGAGGCTGGGCTCCTCCTCCAGTGGGTCCGGCTCCCCCTCCGACTCCGGACCCGTAGAGTCAGGTGGGTTAACCGGTGGCGTCCTGGCCGCACAGACGAGAGGTCATCCCCACTCTCTTCTTCGGCCAGCTCGTATCTTTTTTTTCAACTCGTGCCCCCATAGGGCCACGAACAGCGGACAATCCCGTCCCACTAGGATAGGTACCGGCAGCTCTGGTACTGCACCCACCATCATCTGGCAGCTCCCTTGTGGTGTCACGATGTTGGTCCATACGGCGGGATACCGCTTTGTGTCACCGTGAACACAGGAAATTGACATCTCCCTACCCCGTTCGGTCGCCTGGTTCAGCAGGTTCGTGGTTACGAGCGTAACCATGCTTCCGGAGTCTAATAGCGTTTCTGCGCGTGTCCGTCAACCTTCAACGGACCATGGGTGCAGTTGATTCATAGTGCGCCCAACAGGAGGTAACATAGTTCACGGCGCGACCCCCTGGCCTCCGGTGCTAGCTGATGGCATCGACTCCTCTCGAGCAGGGCAATTCCAGGCAATGTGCCCCCGGGAAGCCACACTTCCAACACCTCCATTGGTCTCCATCTACCTGGGGTCGTCGATGACGGGTCGGCCCTTCCCCAGCCGTCTCTCCACGGGTTTGCGGTCCCTTGGCCCTGCCGACTGTCGGTTTGGGGTACCCCGCGGTGGGGTTGTCCTTTCGTCCCCTCGCACAGGTCGCCGATTCGTCCCGGCTCCCACTCAGTAGGGCCTGAGTGTTCTGCATCTCCACTGCTTCCAGGAGGCCCTCCAAGGTCTGGGGCGCGCATAGGCTCGCTGCCCTCTTCATGTCGTGGGATAGCGCCAGTACGAAGCGATCCAGTACCACTTTGTCGAGGAGGGAGAGGGTGGATACGTCGGTTAGGAGCCATGCCCTGGTGACGCGCAGAAGGTCGCTCATCTGGGCTCGGGGGGATGCGTCGGTTATGAACCTCCAGTCGTGGAACCGTTGAGCCCGATGGGCCAGGCTGTACCCGTAGCGGCTGAGTATCTCCCGTTTGAGTCCATCGTAGTTAGCCGCCTGTTCGTCGTTCAGGTCCCAATATGCCTTTTGGGCATTCCCAGAGAGGAACGGGGCCAGCAGACTTGCCCACTTCGGCCTTGGCCATCGTTCCCGTAACGCTGTCCATTCAAACGTACAGAGGTATGTTTCAATGTCATCGTCTTCCATTAGCTTGAATAAAAACTGATTGGGATGGGATTCAGGAGACGCTCCTCCTTGCAGCTTCCTGACTTCCTCCACGAGGCAGACGTTTTGTAGTCGCTGTTCCTCCAGCGTTCGTTCCTGAACCGCCTGTTGTGCTTGTTGGGCCCGGACGAACTGAGCTATCAACTCGTCCATGCTGATGCTGTGTAAACGTCAACCCTGATCTGACCACGTTATCAAATGCTCACATTCTCCACCACTTGTGGCATATCAGAGGGTTGGGTCAAGACATTTACACAGATCAGACATGGACAGAGTATGATTAGCTCGGTTTCAAGGGTGTTTATTAATAAAGTAATCAAAAGAAAAGGATAAGTCTCCCCCATGAGACTCTCTCCAGGATACCGGCTCCAACTACACTGAAGTTACCTTCCTTCCCCCAGTCCTCTCTCGTGTGCTGCCCTCCTGGCAGCTTTATGGGCCTTCCACAGCTGGTGAGCAATCCGTCCTAAATTACTCACCAGCTCCCAATCAGCCCCAATTAGTCCTGTCCGGGGAGCCCGTCGAGACCTGGCACGTCCAGCAGATGGAGCCACCGCCTCGTGATGTATACTCCATCTGTTACCAGGCCTCGACGAGTCTCCCCCGGTGGCTGACCTGCTGTACGCCGCAGTACAAAGACATTACATAAGATTGTCTATACACGAGAGAGGTTGAGAGTGATGACTGAATAGCTCCTCTTCAAGTGCATGATATCTCCTTTCCTACATGTGTGTTCCATTTCAAACCACCACTTTGTGTGTGTGTGTGTGTGCGTGCGTGTGTGTGACATTAATATTCCAGTAGCGTTCTGTAATGGTCATTCAGGGATAAATACATGATACTACTGTGTTTTCCTGGTTCAGGTGATGAGAAACACTTCCCATATCAGTGGTGTATCCAATTTAAGCAATTCCCTGGTAAGTCTGCTCCCTCCCATAAATTGATATTTGAGAGTGTTCAGTAAGCCTGCCTAGATTGCTCCTGTAGTGGAGGAAGTACTTGTGTGATGTGAACAAATGTTTAGACAAGCTGGAGATCTGTTGACTTTTAAACCATGCTACATTCTTCATAGTTCTAGAACATTCCCAGGGCTCTGATCTTACGGGTTTAAACATAGAGATATACAGTTGAAGTCGGTCATTAAAACTAGTCATTAAAACTAGTTTTTCAACCACTCCACAAATTTCTTTTGAACAAACTATAGTTTTGGCAAGTCGGTCAGGACATCTACTTTGTGAATGACAAAAGTAATTTTTCCAACAATTGTTTACAGACAGATTATTTCCAAACGCCTGAAGGTATCACGTTCATCTGTACAAACAATAGTACGCAAGTATAAACACCATGGGACCACTCAGCCATCATACCGCTCAGGAAGGAGACGCGTTCTGTCTCCTAGAGATGAACGTACTTTGGTGCGAAAAGTGCAAATCAATCCCAGAACAACAGCAAAGGACCTTGTGAAGATGCTGGAGGAAACAGGTACAAAAGTATGTATATCCACAGTAAAACGAGTCCTATATCGACATAACCTGAAAGGCTTCTCAGCAAGGAAGAAGCCACTTTTTGGAGAAATGTCCTCTGGTCTGATGAAACAAAAAAATAACTGTTTGGCCATAATGACCATCGTTATGTTTGGAGGAAAAAGGGAGTGGCTTGCAAGCCGAAGAACACCATCCCAACCGTGACGCACGGGGGTGGCAGCATCATGCTGTGGGGGTGCTTTGCTGCAGGAGGGACTGGTGCACTTCACAAAATAGATGGCATCATGAGGAAGGAAAATTATGTGGATATATTGAAGGAACATCTCAAGACATCAGTCAGGAAGTTAAAGCTTGGTCACAAATGGGTCTTCCAAATGGACAATGACCCCAAGCATACTTCCAAAGTTGTGGTAAAATGGCTTAAGGACAACTAAGTCAAGGTATTGGAGTGGCCATCACAAAGCCCTGACCTCAATCCTATAGAAAATGTGTGGACAGAACTGAAACAGCGTGTGCAAGCATGGAGGCCTACAAACCTGACTCAGTTACACCAGCTCTGTCAGGAGGAATGGGCCAAAATTCACCCAACTTATTGTGGGAAGCTTGTGAAAGGCTACCCGAAACGTTTGACCCAAGTTAAACAATTTAAAGGCAATGCTAACAAATACTAATTGAGTGTATGTAAACTTCTGACCCACTGGGAATGTGATGATAGAAATAAAAGCTGAAATAAATAATTCTCTCCACTATTATTTCACATTCTTAAAATAAAGTGGTGACTCTACCTGACCTAAGACAGGGGATTCTTACTAGGATTAAATGCCAGGAATTGTGAAAAACTGAGTTTAAATGTATTTGGCTAAGGTATATGTAAACTTACGACTTCAACTGTATATTGGGTTAAATCACAGGGTTAAAGCTCTGATGTCACTGGTTTGATCATGAGCTGTTTGTTCTGGGATTCAGCTGTAGAATGCCTACGTGTGCTTTTCAATTATGTCCATGGTGCTCTGCTCACTGAAACCCACTCAAACCCCATTGTTTGCTGGCCTATCTGCTGTTGCTTGGATGTTCCCAATAGCAAATAGCTCCTAGTCCGCCCAACCAGAGGCGTCAGATGGCCCCTGTCATGTCTAAACCTGTCATGCTGTCCCAGAATCAGTCACATCGACCAACCCTACACTCTGAGGGCCTGGTAAGAAACACTGTCCTCCTACTCCTACTCTCTCCCTAAACACCCTCTTTGCATGCTTGCTCTGTTATCCTGTCACTGTCCCTAGCCGGGGTGCTAGTTTGTTCTCACTGTCCCTAGCCGGGGTGCTACTTTGTCAAGCTGTTTCTCTGGGTTCTCTGCTGCACCAGACAAGGGTGGTTAGTGTACCGATGCTAACTTCAATTTTTGCAACTTTCATTACTCTGCTCCCACTGGTCATTAACCATATGTCATCATCATCCAGAAAAACCAAGGGAGGATCAGGTCTGGCTTTTATATATCGTCCAATTATTTGTGAAGGATGAATACACAAACTGAGAGAGTATTATAGTCTTTGCAGTTTAGCTACAGAACTTCTCAGTAACCGAATGAAACGATACAGCATCAGAACATGACTTGCATTCCAGTAGTGAGAGGAGTGTCTTGTTTCTTTGCCTATCATAAATTCGGAATACATTGGTGTTCCGATAGGTTGTCTTAGTCTTAGCGATCCTATTCATCTGAAGGGGACAGATCTATGGGGGGAAAGCCCTAAAGTTCACAGACAAAGGTTACAAAGACGGCACCTAATTATTTGTAATTGTTTAAAAATATATATCTACAGTACCAGTCAAAAGTTTGGACACACCTACTCATTTTTACTATTTTCTACATTGTAGAATAATAGTGAAGACATCACAACTATGAAATAACACATATGGAATCATGTAGTAACCAAAGAAGTGTTAAACAAATGAAAATATATTTTATATTTGTAGCGGGTGATTTGGACGGAGTCAGGCGCAGGAGGTGTTAATCACAGAATAATGGTTTATTCGGCCAATACAGCGGTTCGCAGCAATGCGTAAAACAACTACAGTGCGACTTAACGGCGCACTGGGGAAAACAAGACACACGGGTGAATATCCTGATGATAAAGTACATAATGGTCTACCGAGCTATCGACACCTCCACATGGAAACAATCACACACAAAGACATTGGGGGCAGAGGGAATACTAATACAGGGACTGATGAGGGGATATGAACCAGGTGTGTGTAAAAAAACAAGACAAAACAAATGGAATGATGAGAAGAGGAGCGGCAGTGGCTAGAAGGCCGGTGACGACGAACACCAAAGCCTGCCCGAACAAGGAGAGGAGGCAGCTTCGGAGGAAGTCGTGACAATATTTGAGATTCTTCAAATAGCCACCCTTTGCCTTGATGACAGCTTTGCATACTCTTGGCATTCTTTCAACCAGCTTCATGAGGTAGTCACCTGGAAAGCATTTCAATTAACAGGTGTGCCTTCTTAAAAGTTAATTTGTGGAATTTCTTTCCTTCTTAATGCGTTTGAGCCAATCAGTTGTGTTGTGACAAGCTAGAGGTGGTATACAGAAGATAGCCCTATTTGGTAAAAGACCAAGTCCATATTATGGCAAGAACAGCTCAAATAAGCAAAGAGAAATGACAGTCCATCATTACTTTAAGACATGAAGGTAAGTCAATCCGGAAAATGTCAAGAACTTTTAAAGTTTCTTCAAGTGCAGTCGCAAAAACCATCAAGCGCTATGATGAAACTGGCTCTCACGAGGACCGCCACAGGAAAGGAAGACCCAGAGTTACCTCTGCTGCAGAGGATAAGTTCATTAGAGTTCCCAGCCTCAGAAATTGCAGCCCAAATAAATGCTTTGCAGAGTTCAAGTCACAGACACATCTCAACATCAACTGTTCAGAGGAGACTGCGTGAATCAGGCCTTCATGGTCGAATTTCTGCAAAGAAACCACTACTAAAGGACACCAATAAGAAGTAGACTTGCTTGGGCCAAGAAACACGAGCAATGGACATTGGACCGGTGGAAATCTGTCCTTTGGTCTGATGAGTCCAAATTGGAGATTTTTGGTTCAAACCGCTGTGTCATTGTGAGATGCAGAGTAGGTGAACGGATGATCTCCGCATGTGTGGTTCCCACCGTAAAGCATGGAGGAGGAGGTGTGATGGTGTGGGGGTGCTTTACTGGTGACACTGTCTGTGATTTATTTAGAATTCAAGGCACACTTAACCAGCATGGCTACCACCGCATTCTGCAGCGATACGCCATCCCATCTGGTTTGCGCGTAGAGGGACTATCATTTGTTTTTCAACAGGACAATGACCCAAAACACACTTCCAGGCTGTGTAAGGGCTGAGATGGTTTGGGATGAGTTGGACCGCAGATATGTGCTCACTATATGTGGGAACTCCTTCAAGACTGTTGGAAAAGCATTCCTCATGTAGCTGGTTAAGAGAATGCCAAGAGTGTGCAAAGCTGTCATCAAGGCAAAGGGTGGCTACTTTGAAGAATATAAAATATAAAATATATTTTGATTTGTTTAACACTTTTTTGGTTACTACATGATTCCATATGTGTTATTTCATCGTATTGATGTCTTCACTATTATTCTACAATGTAGAAAATAGTAAAAATAACTAAAAACCCTTGAATGAGTAGGTGTGTCCAAACTTTTGACTGGTACTTTATATCTTTGTATGTTTATTGGATAGAGAGAGATATAGGTGAACGGTAGGAGAGAGATTGCTGAAAGAGCAGTGGGATGGATTCGAAGCAGCAATGACTTAGATCACTAGACCCCCCAAGCCATTATCCATAATGACTTATGGGTCAGAGAGTCACAGAAACAGAGTAGAAACTCTGCAGTAGTTTGATGGATGCTGAGACGCCCTCATGCCCTACTGTCTGTCTGTAAGACTGACGCTCTATCTGACGCGATTAAACCACACAGGAAGCCCATCTCAGCCCATCTCTCCCTCCTGTCATAAGTGCCTGTTAATTAAATGGATGGCCACCACCCATGGATATAGCCTACAGTACAGTTTAGGTGCAGTCATTTTCAGGCTCTGACGTATGGTGACAGCTGTGTTAGCACTCAAAGATGTCACATAAAGTTTACTTCCATTTTTAAATTGTTCTATTCTTTTCACTGCATCAGACATTTCTGCTTTTCAGCCTTCTTTAGTCTGTAGGTAATCTTTTTCATTCAAAACAGCATTTATAGGGGACACAGGTGAGCAATTTAAACTCTGTCCATATCAAGAACACCGTCCATATCATATTTTGCATATCATTTATGAGTTAGGCTCACATATTTATGAACAGCCTGAAGTCCTTTGTGGTAAGCAATCTCATAAATGTATATAATGTATCCAAATGAGCGGACGGTTCACGCCTGATACCCCCAATTGCCCTTTGTGCCCGCTCCCATACTCTATAATTCTGTATTTCTTTGTGATTGTAACTTGTATACGGGTAGACCAGAGAACCTGATTGGCAGATGAGTGGCAACTCTGATTAGAAGCACCTGTTGCTCATCGGTTGCTCACCTGTGTTCCCTATAAATGCTGTTTTGAATGAAAAAGATTTGGACTGACATACTGAAGAAGGCTAAAAAGCGGAAACGTCTGTGTACGCTATCCCTGATGCAAAGAAAATAATAAAAACAAATAGAAAAAAATTTTAACCCCTTTTTCTCCCCAATTTCGATCTTGTCTCATCGCTGCAACTCCCCAACGGGCTCAGGAGGGGAAAATCGAGTCATGTGTCCTCTGAAACATGACCCGCCAAACCGCGCCCGCTTAACCCGGAAGCCAGCCGCACCAATGTGTCGGAGGAACACTGTTCAACTGACGACCGAGGTCAGCCTGCAGGCGCCCGGCACAAGGAGTCGCTAGAGCGCGATGAGCCAAGTAAAGCCCCCCCGGCCAAACCCTCCCTTAACCCGGACGACACTGGGCCAATTGTGCGCCGCCCAACGGGACTTCAGATCACGGCCGGTTGTGACAGCCTGGGATCGAACCCAGGTCTACCCGGGTCTGTCGTGACGCCTCTAGCACTGCGATGCAGTGCCTTAGACCACTGCTCCACTCAGGAGGCCCATGCAACATATTTTTTGAGTGCGGGCCCATCACATCTTTTTGCTTATCTGAGTTTACGGGTTTTACGCACCAACCAAACTTTTAATTGGCTACTGTGTTAGTCAGTGCCTTTGGAAAGTATTCAGACCCCTATACTTTTTCCAAATGTTGTTACGTTACAGCCTTATTCTAAAATGGATTAAATAAAAACATTTCCTCAGCAATCTACACACAATACCACATAATGACAAAGCAAAAACAGGTTTTTAGATTTTTTTGCAAATGTATTAAAAATAAAAAACTTCCTTTACGTAAGTATTCAGACCCTTTGCTATGAGACTCGAAATTGAGCTCAAGTGCATCCTGTTTCCATTGATCATCCTTGAGATGTTTCTACAACCTGATTGGAGTCCACTTGTGGTCAATTCAATTGATTGGACATGATTTGGAAGGGCAAACACCTGTCTATATAAGGTCTCACAGTTGACAGTGCATGTCAGAGCAAAAACCAAGCCATGAGGTGGAAGGAATTGTCCGTAGAGCTCCGAGACAGGATTGTGTCGAGGCACAGATCTGGGGAAGGGTACCAAAAAATGTCTGCAGCATTGAAGGTCGCCAAGAACACAGTTTGCCTCCATCATTCTTAAATGCATGAAGTTTGGAACCACCTAGACTCTTCCTAGACCTGGCCGCCCGGCCAAACAGAGCAATTTGGGGCGAAGGGCCTTGGTCAGGGAGGTGACCAAGAATCCAATGGTCACTCTGACAGAGCTCTATAGTTCCTATGTGGAGATGGGATAATCTTCCAGAAGGACAACCATCTCTGCAGCACTCCACCAATCAGGCCTTTATGGTAGAGTGGCCAGACAGAAGCCACTCCTCAGTAAATGGCACATGACAGCCCGCTTGGAGTTTGCCAAAAGGCACCTAAAGACTCTCAGACCATGAGAAACAAGATTCTCTGCTCTGATGAAACCAAGATTGAACTCTTTGGCCTGAATGCCAACCGTCATGTCTAGAGGAAACCTGGCACCATCCCTATGGTGAGTCATGGTGGTGGCAGTATCATGCTGTGGGGATGATTTTTCACTGGCATGGACTGGGAAACTAGTCAGGATCGAGGCAAAGATGAACGGAGCAAAGTACAGAGAGATCCTTGATGAAAACCTGCTCCTTAGCTCTCAGGACCTCAGACTGGGGCGAAGGTTTACCTTCCAACAGGATAACGACCCAAAGCACACAGCCAAGACAACGTAGGAATGACTTCGGGACAAGTCTCTGAATGTCCTTGAGTGGCCCAGCCAGAGCCCGGACTTGAACACGATCGAACATCTCTGGAGAGACCTGAAAATAACTGTGCAGCAATGCTCCTCATTCAATCTGACAGAGCTTGAGAGGATCTGCAGAGAAGAATGGGAGAAACTCCCCAAATACATGTGTGCCAAGCTTGTAGAGTCATACCCAAGAAGACTCAATGCTTTAATCGCTGCCAAAGGTGCTTCAACAAAGTACTGAGTAAAGGGTCTGAATACTTCTGTAAATGTGGTATTTCCATTTTTTATTTGTAATAAATTAGCAAAATGTTCTAAAAAACGGTTTTTGCTTTGTCATTATGAGTATTGTGTGTAGGTAGATGAGGGGGAAAAAAAACTATTTAATCAATTTTAGAGTAAGGCTATAACATAACAAAATGTGGAAAAAGTCAAGGGGTCTGAATACTTTCCGAAGGCACTGTATGTATATTTAACCCGCCCTCTCCAGCAGTACAGCCCTCCTAAGCCCCCGCACATCTTGAAATTCCCCCACATAGTTGACCATCTTCTAGTATTTATAATCAACCTTAAGGAGCGAGGGGAAAAAAAAGAAGAAGCGAGGTGTTTAGTGTCATAGTGTCAATCTCTAATGACTACTGTCTGGTTCCTGTGTTACAGCCCCCGGAGATGCTGAAACGGATGGTGACGTATAACACCTCCTTTAGGTCCAACAACAAGAGACAAGTAATCCATACCAATCACCACCTTCTCCTCTGACTCTGCTGTCCTCTGCTCTGAGTGGTTCTTAGTAGTTTAGTGGCTGTTTTCCCTTGCTCTTTCTAATCTAAAGCAATCCATCTTTCTTCCTCAGAGTGACGTGTGGAGTGACTGCCTCCTTTATTTCTCTGGTTCCCAATCTGTCCTTTCTGTTTGATGCAGTAGTTCCTTGTAGTTCCTTGTAGTCCCTGTAGTTCCTTGTAGTCCCTGTAGTTCCTTGTACACATTCGATAGCTCAACTAATGACTGTGGAAGTTGTATGTATATGTACATGTATTGGGCATTCTTTTGTCTCAAGGTAGATATGCAGATGGTGTGGATGCTGAGTGGTGTAGATATTTAGTTGTACGTCTTCCTTTTAGTGTTCAGGTTGCCCTGATCTGAACTGACAGTGCATTGTCCCGCTGTCAATGGCATTTTAGTGTTTGATACAGACTGAGACCACAAGCAACTTCCTGTGCTATGGGAAGAAAGACCTCCATGTTTTTACTCGACCCTACAGATCGTGCTTATTGTTATTAAAAACCTTGAGTTGACATTCCTTGCCTTAAATTCATTCCCTATAGTTCAAAATCTGTCAAAATAAACTCTGTGGAAATCTCAATTGGCACCCTGCTATTCCCCATATTCTGCACTATAACTGACGGAAAGTAGTGCACTATATAGGGGCTAGGGTACCATTTGAGATGCAACTTCGGACCGCAGAGAGGCTTTTGTTCTGGTGCTGCTTTTCAAACCACCTACATGATGATATTAAAAAGGCATCAATGTCATTGCAATAAATTGCCTTCTACGTCATCTCATTCAGTCAGATTTAATTAACGTTCATTCAGACTCACTCAGACTGATGTCTCCAGCCATGAAGGACAACAACGCTTCGATGGACGCTATACAAATAAATTGGCATTTGTTTCAAACTGGAGATGTCTGCTTTTGATATGGAAAGCGCATTGTGATTGCCTTGCTAACTGAGCTGTGGCTGCAGTGATGGAGACATGAGATGGAGAGATGACAAATGTGTCCTCTTTCTCCTGAATGGAGATTTTGAAGGCCATAGATGACAGGGTGTGTGTTTGTGTGCGTGTTTTCAATGAGGCCTGTCCTAGAGGAGAAAGATTAGCCTTTAGATGTCACAGTTTAGATGTCACATTAGCAGACAGAGACACATGAAAGGTAGATTGAACATGCCTGTTATGTTTTTCCTTCAGAATTCGCAACTCCTTTTGAGATATTTTGAAGTGAAAATAAGAAATGCTGTCGCTATCTCGCTTTACAAACCAAGGTGCTTGAACAGTGGAGCAAACAGAAAAACTGATTTTCGGAAACTCTTGGTAGGACAATGGAAGTTTACTACCAAAGTGTTGAAACACTGAAATGTGTTGGTTTTAACAAAAACATATATATTTTTGAAGCAACGTTTTTATTTCCAGAGTTCCACTGAGTGTACAAAACATTAGGAACACCTGCTCTTTCCATGACATAGACTGACCAGGTGAATCCAGGTGAAAGCTATGATCCCTTATTGATGTCACCTGTTAAATCCACTTCAATCAGTGTAGATGAAGGGGAGGAGTCAGGTTAAAGAGTAATTTTTAGCCTTGAGACAATTGAGACATGGATTGTGTATGTGCGCCATTCAGAGCGTGAATGGGCAAGACATAATATTTAAGTGCCTTTGAATGGGGTATGGTAGTAGGTGCCAGGCTCACCAGTTTGTGTCAAGAACTGCAACACTGCTGGGTTTTTCACGCTCAACAGTTTCCTGTGTATCACGAATGGGGTGTTCCTAATGTTTTGTACACTCAGTGTATATACAGTTAGCCTTCTCTCTACAGTCGCATAGACCTTGTCATCACTTTATTTTACAAAGCTGGAAAGACATGGAAAGCCTTGGTTTTTCTTGTATTATAACATTCATCGATTCGAAATACCATTTAAAGACATAGAAGTGGTTGTCAAAGGAAATCTAGCCTTGTACACTCACCACTCATTCTCTGTTAGAGCCTAATTACATTCCAAAGTCATTTAGAAATGTAATGATAAATGATAAGCTACATTGACCTGGTTTGGGTTGAACCTATGAAGTTTTACAGTGCTGCAGACTAACAAAGGAAAGGATAGTCATTTCAGCTTATACCACAGATTGTGTAATATGTCATATTACTGAGCAAGAAATCAGAACTAGAGCAAGAAATCAGTTAAGAGACCAGGGTGATTTAGGGCCTATATCATAGTTATATTACTCAACCATGCTTCCTAGTGGTGCTGAACCTCAATGCAGCATTGCCATGTTGAACTGTCTAATCATATGTTGTTTGTCTTTCAGGGCTTTCAGAAATATGTGGAAGACTTTGATCCCCACTCCATGGTACTGTATGCCTGAGCGTAGTCTGTCTATATCTGCAAGACTTTTAGACGTATAGGATCATGTCATGTATACAGGTGTGCAACCTGTATTTCTCTATGAATAATTAGACCAGTCATATGCCAATACGACCTTTACTAAACACAAGGTGTTGCTGGTGTGACATGTGCCTATGAAGATCTGTGACGCGTGACTTTGACTATAAAGCTGTGTGTAAATGTCAGTCACCCTCCATTGTGAGCCATGCCATAGTTGACCTAGGTTATATGTGGCAATTGAGTCACTGTAACAGCCATTCTGTGTTATAGCTTTCCTGGAAACCTCAGTGGAACATATTTCCTCGAACTAGTCAATGCACCTCAGGGAAATGGTTTATAATAAAGCCATATATAATAGAGATATAATGTATAGATTGTACAATCCATACATGTCTATTCACTGTGATCCAGTGTTGTAATGTTGTGTGTTTTGTTTTGCCTCCATCTCTCTCTGCTGGTTGTGTTAACAGTTATCCTCAGAGCAGATAGCTGGGCGAGACGTGAGACTACTGAGAATCAAAAAGGTAATCAGAATTACCCTCAGGATGAGCTGTCCAGTTTTGACTTTTCAGGTTGTTGTATTTTTATTTAAGGAAAGAAGGATCAAAACAAACTTACCTTCGGGGACAATAAAGTTAATTGGCAATTCAAAAAGTTAATTCCTGCACTGCAGAATCATCTCTATTTCCTCAGACAAACATACAGTAGGATGATGATGATGATACATCTAAGGCTTTAAAGCTGCAATATGTAACTTTTTGGGCGACCCAACCAAATTCACATAGAAATGTGAGTTATAGATCTGTCATTCTCATTGAAAGCAAGTTTAAGAAGCGGTAGATCTGTTCTATGTGTGCTATTTCGATGCTTCCCGTTCGTAAGTTTTGTTTTGCGTCTTTTGCTTTAGTTTTTGTACACCAGCTTCAAACAACTGAAAATACAATATTTTTGGTTATGGAAAATATATTTCACAGCGGTTTAGATGGTACAATGATTCTCTACACTAAACTTGCTTGTTTTGTCACATAAACTGAAATTAGGCGAACTATTAGAATTTTAGCAACCAGGAAATGGAGGAGTGATTTCTGCATAGTGCATCTTTATATGATATGTAATGAATAGTATTTCCATGTATCTCTCTTACCTCAGGTTGGACCACTTGATCTGGCTGTGGAGGGAGGAGTAGACTCTCCTCTGGGAAAGCTAGTGGTATCTGCCATTTATGATGGAGGCTCAGCAGACAAACATGGTGAGTTCATATGTGTCAACACTTGGATTTATTTAATTTAAAGATTATAAACATCAATCTCTTCTCTCACCCTCTGTTGTCACCAATAAAAATGGAATGGCATGTTTTTGTTTCTGACATACAAACAGTATTCAATTGCTCAGACTGATATTCAATGGTCTGATTCCGTTCTTATTAGTCTATGGCTGCGTTTACACAAGCAGCCAAATTCTGTTCTTTTGCCCAATTATGGGCAAAATAGTTGATTTGATTGGTCAAAAGACCAATTAGTGGAAAAATAATCAGAATTGGGTGGCCTGTGTAAACACAGCCTTTATGTCCCTGTGGAGCAATGATAGTAGAAACTAATCCCAGGCTATTGAGTGAGATATGTTTACTATTCACCCTGAGGTTGTGGTATGTAAAAACAAATGTTATTTTTGTGATTGTGTTTGTGACTGTGCATGTATGTATGTGTGTGTGTGCTTCCCCAGGTGGGATAGTGCCAGGAGATGAGGTGATAGCTGTGAATGGGAAGATCCTGACTGACTCCTCACTGACAGAAGGACAAAACTCTCTGACCAGGGCCTGGAACAGTGGAGGGGTACGATTTTACTGTTTCTTTTACGCTCTGACAACAACAACAACGTCTAAGATAAGAAATGCTGGGGGGGGGGTGTCTCACAGCAAAATCAATGAGTTAGGCAGCTAACGTTCATTACTATTCTCAATAAACAGGCATGGGAGTATATCCGAGGCTGTCATTTTGATCCTGTATTGTGAAATACTACCCTGGTTGTTTGTGCTGACGGTAATTTGCCATACATGAGTCTTATTGATATGGTTATAAAGGCCAGCCCCGATCAAAATGTCAACAATCAGGCCAGTTGGTTTTATAGTGAGGAGAGGGGAGGGGTGGATTTATTTGGATCAATAGGTCCTCTGTGATATTTATTTACCATTGAAATCCTGTATGAAAGAGGGATAGACATTTCATCGTTAAATGAGCCAAACATAATTTATTTTTCATTTATCTGTATGTGTGTCTTTAGGATTGGATTGACCTGGTGATAGCAGTGTCACCTCCAAAAGAGTATGAAGATGAGGTGTAAGTACATTCTGTCCATCAACTCCACATATAGTACAATCTCTACAGTATCTGAATACACACAATGCATAGCCTATAAATGCTCACAATGATTCAATTGAAAGTAGATGCAGGGCGTAATGTTTCAATTTACTTGTTATTTACAGTGCATTCGGAAAATATTCAGACCCCTTGACTTTTTTTCCCTCATCAATCTACACACAATACCGCATAATGACAAAGCAAAAACCGTTACAGACTTCAGTCCTCTTGTGTATGACACTACAAGCTTGGCACACCTGTATTTGTGGAGTTTCTCCCATTCTTCTCTGCAGATCCTCTCAAGCTCTGTCAGGTTGGATGGGGAGAGTCGTGTGGTAGAAATTCTATAGGAAGAGAGACTGCAGATTCTTTCCAACAACAACTTTATTATAAGATTTGCAAAAATGGAACAGTTCAACATTCCACTCACAGTGCACAGTTAAAAAGCTCAACGAGCAGAGTTGGCTTTCTCCTTTTATAGAAAGTACATCCTCTTACAGTGGGGAAAAAAGTATTTAGTCAGCCACCAATTGTGCAAGTTCTCCCACTTAAAAAGATGAGAGAGGCCTGTAATTTTCATCATAGGTACACGTCAACTATGACAGACAAAATGAGAATTTTTTTCCAGAAAATCACATTGTAGGATTTTTAATGAATTTATTTGCAAATTATGGTGGAAAATAGGTATTTGGTCAATAACAAAGGTTTCTCAATACTTTGTTATATACCCTTTGTTGGCAATGACACAGGTCAAACGTTTTCTGTAAGTCTTCACAAGGTTTTCACACACTGTTGCTGGTATTTTGGCCCATTCCTCCATGCAGATCTCCTCTAGAGCAGTGATGTTTTGGGGCTGTCGCTGGGCAACACGGACTTTCAACTCCCTCCAAAGATGTTCTATGGGGTTGAGATCTGGAGACTGGCTAGGCCACTCCAGGACCTTGAAATGCTTCTTACGAAGCCACTCCTTCGTTGCCCGGGCGGTGTGTTTGGGATCATTGTCATGCTGAAAGACCCAGCCACGTTTCATGGAAGGAGGTTTTCACTCAAAATCTCACAATACATGGCCCCATTCATTCTTTACACGGATCAGTCGTCCTGGTCCCTTTGCAGAAAAACAGCCCCAAAGCATGATGTTTCCACCCCCATGCTTCACGGTAGGTATGGTGTTCTTTGGATGCAACTCAGCATTCTTTGTCCTCCAAACACGACAAGTTGAGTTTTTACCAAAAAGTTATATTTTGGTTTCATCTGACCATATGACATTCTCCCAATCCTCTTCTGGATCATCCAAATGCACTCTAGCAAACTTCAGACGGGCTTGGACATGTACTGGCTTAAGCAGGGGGACACGTCTGGCACTGCAGGATTTGAGTCCCTGGCGGCGTAGTGTGTTACTGATGGTAGGCTTTGTTACTTTGGTCCCAGCTCTCTGCAGGTCATTCACTAGGTCCCCCTGTGTGGTTCTGGGATTTTTGCTCACCGTTCTTGTGATCATTTTGACCCCACGGGGTGAGATCTTGCGTGGAGCCCCAGATCGAGGGAGATTATCAGTGGTCTTGTATGTCTTCCATTTCCTAATAATTGCTCCCACAGTTGATTTCTTCAAACCAAGCTGCTTACCTATTGCAGATTCAGTCTTCCCAGCCTGGTGCAGGTCTACAATTTTGTTTCTGGTGTCCTTTGACAGCTCTTTGGTCTTGGCCATAGTGGAGTTTGGAGTGTGACTGTTTGAGGTTGTGGACAGGTGTCTTTTATACTGATAACAAGTTCAAACAGGTGCCATTAATACAGGTAACGAGTGGAGGACAGAGGAGCCTCTTAAAGAAGAAGTTACAGGTCTGTGAGAGCCAGAAATCTTGCTTGTTTGTAGGTGACCAAATACTTATTTTCCACCATAATTTGCAAATAAATTCATTAAAAATCCTACAATGTGATTTTCTGGATTTTCTTTTCTCAATTTGTCTGTCATAGTTGACGTGTACCTATGATGAAAATTACAGGCCTCTCTCATCTTTTTAAGTGGGAGAACTTGCACAATTGGTGGCTGACTAAATACTTTTTTCCCCCACTGTAACTATGTGACAGTTAGCAGATGTACAGAAACAGGGCCTGGGAACAGAGTTGTACCATTCTCTGTTCCTCCCTGCAATTCCAACATAGCTACATTCCTACCGATCATAAACACAGGAGGACACATATGCACCCAAACGGCTCATAAATCTGTACGTTCAGAATCAGTAAAAAATACTAGCATATAACAATGGACAATCTTTAAGTAAAAAACAGCATAGTATGTCTAATTAAACAGTATAGTATGTAATTAATATTAATTTCCTCTAGAGTTGCTGCACAGCTATTTTCAAGTCTCTCCAGAGATGTTAGATCGGGTTCAAGTCCGGGCTCCGGCTGGGCCACTTAAGGACATTCAGAGACTTGTCCCGAAGCCACTCCTGCGCTGTCTTGGCTATGTGCTTAAGGTCGTTGTCCTGTTGGAAGGTGAACCTTCACCCCAGTCTGAGGTCCTGAGAGCTCTGGAGCAGGTTTTCATCAAGGATCTCTCTGTACTTTGCTCTGTTCATCTTTTCCTCGCTCCTGACTAGTATCCCAGTCCCTGCCGCTGAAAAACATCCCAACCGCATGATGCTGCCACCATCATGCTTCACCGTAGGGATGCCATGTTTCCTCCAGACGTGACGCTTGGCATTCAGGCCAAAGAGTTCTATCTTGTTTTCATCAGACCAGAGACTCTTGTTTCTCATGGTCTGAGAGTCCTTTAGGTGCCTTTTGGCAAAGTCCAAGCGGGCTGTCATGTGCCTTTTACTGAGGAGTGGCCTCCGTCTGGCCACTCTACCATAAAGACCTGATTGGTGGAGTGCTGCAGAGATGGTTGTCCTTCTGGAAGGTTCTCCCATCTCCACAGAGGAACTCTAGAGCTCTTTCAGAGTGACCATTGGGTTCTTGGTCACCTCCCTGACAAAGGCCCTTCTCTCCCGATTGCTCTGTTTGGCCGGGTGGCCAGCTCTAGGAAGAGTGTTGGTGGTTCCAAACTTCTTCCATTTAAGAATGATGGAGGCCACTGTGTTCTTGGCGACCTTCAATGCTGCAGACATGTTTTGGTACCCGTCCCCAGATCTGTGCCTTGACACAATCCTGTCTCAGAGCTCTATGGACAATTCCTTCAACCTCATGGCTTGGTGTTTGCTCTGACATGCACTGTCAACTGTGGGACCTTATATAGACAGGTGTGTGCCTTTCCAAATGATGTCCAATCAATTGAATTTACCACAGGTGGACTCCAACCAAGTTGTAGAAACATCTCAAGGATGATCCATTGAAACAGGATGCACCTGAGCTCAATTTCGAGTCTCATAGCAAAGGGTCTGAATACTTATGTAAATAAGGTATTTCAGTTTTTTAGGTTTTATAAATTTGCTAAACTTTCTAAAAACCAGTTTTTGCTTTGTCATTATGGGGTAATGTGTGTAGATTGATGAGGATGTGTATTTATTTAATCAATTTTAGAATAAGGCTGTAACGTAACAAAATGTGGAAATGTGTAAAAAGGGAGGTGTCTGAATACTTTCCAAATGGACTGTATGTGTTGACTGTGTGACTGTAGCTAAATGGCCTCTTCTTTAGTGAAAGGGGTGTGTGTTGTGTATGTCTGTCAGACTGTGTATCTGTCGATGTTCATGCCAGTGTGTCTGTGTGTCTGTCTCTGTGTGTGTGTGTATGTGTGTCTGTCTGTCTGTCGGCATGTGTGTGTGTGTCCAGCCCTAAGTCAGCATCAGTCAGTCCCACTGTGAACAGAAAGGTGTTTGAAGGCAGTGCATCAGTGTACAGACACGGCTACCGGCTCCAGTTTTAGCCCTAACCTCCCACCCTGCACACCCCCACCTGAGGGTAAACCCCTACCCCCACACACCCCTACCCTGTGCCCCTGCCAGAGGGGGATGTTTGGCATGACTGTTTGGCCCCAGGGGGAGGTAGGCTGTGTGTTCTTGTGCAGTATGCATCTAATTCATGTGACAGTCTCTCTGTCAATCAGAAATGACGGCACACCAGCATCAATTTAAGTTTTATGCCTCTCATTTTAGACACTTGCTGTCACAATGAATGGCAGTGCCTGTCTTTCTAGATCAAAATACATTCTGCAAATACAGTGCATTTACAAGGCTCTGGCCTGTCCTAAGAGGTCACAGCCATAATTAGCGTGACCGAGGTAGTGACATAGCCTTCTGCCAGCCTTCAGCAGTTGTTCTGATTGATGTTAGTCAAAGGGACTGTAACATGTTTGGACCTATACTGGGAGATTACTGTAGTGGCGGTCCCCAAACTGTTTTGGTGCTGTGGCCCACCACAAACGTTTGGAATTTTCCTACGGAACCAGTCAAAAGTTTGGACACACCTCATTCAAGGGTTTTTCTTTATTTTTACTATTTTCTACGTTGTATAATAATATTGAAGACATC